CTTTCTCCCCCTCCATTTATCTGAATCCAACCAATCAGCTGGCAGACTTCAGTAAACCTCCGTCTCTTAGCTTGTGTGTGTGAGTGTCTTTCAACCTGTGGTGATTCCTGCTTCCTTAGCTACTTGCTTGCATGTCTTGCTTCCTTAACACCTTGTCTCCTTCACTCAAAATGTGTGTATTACTGCCCTGCACATTTAATGCAGAGACACGAGTCTGTGGCGAGCTAAATTAGCATTATTTTTATAAATGATTACCTGTATTTATATACATTCATATCAGGAATTCCCTCACAAATTTTAGACGAAGTAAAGGAATCTTTTTGAGCATGCATGGGCCTAGCATGACACCTTAAATGAGCAAGTATGGCTTGGTCCAAATGAAACTAAATCCATCTTTAAAGCTCAATAATGAACATGGTGGAAAGAAATTAACTGTTCTTTCCCATTAAAATCAATGTAGGAGGATGGCAAGAGTGGCGGCCTTTTTTGTTCGTACCATTGCCATTGCTGTTTTGTAGTTGGATAACTTCCTTATAAACTGAACTGACTTGTGGCAAGTTGCAGACTTTTGGTTTTGAAGTATTGAGGTTTTGAAGTAATGACTGCAAAATCCGTTTTTTGTCCAATCCTGTTCTACTTTCTATCAAATTCTAATTTTTGCAGTTTGATTTTTGAACCAAATAAACAACAAACAATGATTTTAATTGATCATTAATTTTCTTAGGTGCCAGGTGGACTTTGTAACATTTTAAAAGAGCCAGGATTTACCTCTTTTTTACAGTCTTAATGCTAAGCTAACACACATTCTAGCTTTACCTTCATGTTCACAGTACAGACATCACATTTGTTATCAATTTATCTCGAAGATAAATGTCAAAAATATTGGCTTACATTTCTAAAATATCAAAGAAATGCGTCAATAGTGGGAAATGTAATTGTTCATGCCAAGAAATCAACTTATCAAGATTGTAAGTGATGATATGAAGAATTGGTATTTCAGGCGGTCCAAATTGAATTAAATCCAACTATAGCCTAATGGATTTTTATAATGATTTGAAGCATTAGTTTGTCGCTGTGGCCTAATCAGACCCACTGACTGTAATGCAAAATGTCAACGGCATTCTCATTCTCTGTAAAGAAACCTGAATGGAGATGAGGTTTGTATGTAGGCTATATAGTCAAATGAAACAAAGATGTATTTCACTTACAATAAAAGGCATATTTAAATATCTACGGGTCCAAACGTGTCAGCATATGCACATTTAAGACTGACCGCACACTGCAGCACAGCTCAACACACACACACACACACACACACACACACACACACACACACACACACACACACACACACACACACACACACACACACACACACACACACACACACACACACACACACACACATGCAGTTATCATCATAAATAACACTTTGTCGCCATCTATTGGAGACATTAGGCTTCACAGGAAACAGGACTGCAGTCAACCTTTAACTTGATTTGAAAATGATTGTATTAAAACAACTTGTTCTGTGGTCCTTTAACGTAGACTGTTTGGCTTCTTAGACTCCCTACAATGCAGTTTAGCGGGGAAAAAACAATATCAAGCCATCAAATCTCCACAGAAAAAGTTGTTTAAGTGAAAGCCATTGTTACTTAATCTTCTTTATTAGGTGTGAATCTGTTTCTCTTTGCGCCAGGCTGCCTGGTGTCCCCTGAGTTCAAACCATAGGGTTCAAACCAGACTGTAAACAGGTGCACAGGAGGCAAGATGCTGCCTTCAGGTATAGGGAGGAAAATTGCAAATCTCTAAATCCAAAAAATGTGCAGTCAAGTGCAGGCATGATGTCAGACAAAATTGAGTTTTAGACACCATTACAAATGTTTCTGTAAGGGAGTTTGTTTAGTTCGACTTATACCCAATAATAACGTATACTGCAAATATAACAGTAAACAAACATAATTAAATTTTTCTTGGCCGCCGAGTATGACGTGGATACATTTAAAGTACTGAAAATAACAAAACATCTGATGCATAAGAAATGCACTGAAGACAAATGCAGTTGAAACAAATAACAGTTTATTGAAGCACAAAGCGAATTTAGCAGTTAACAATAACTTTCAACCTTACAGGATATTATTAGGCATTAACATTTTCGCAATAATAACTTTGAAACTTAAAAGTCTGCGTTTGAGTGGATCCCCTGAACGCAGCATCAGCTGGTGCAGCACCGTGCTGACGAGCCGTTGCTTGTGGAAACAGCTGGTAGTTTCTGTCAGCTTTGCTTCATAGCCGCATTGGGAGGAATAAAAGTTCACATTTGACTGAAAACTGACGGAGTGTGGTTGGTTTTGAGTCACTGCTGCTTTTTCACCAGGCACCGGGACATGTCATCCTGTGAAAGCCACTTTAACGGGGACTTTTTAATCACCGACGGAGCTTATTATTAGACGCTCTACGCACCGGTGCTAACGCTAGTGAACGTTGGCTAACTTTCTCTACTCCCATAGCAACTAGCACAGGTGTTCCGTTGGACTAACCGTCGGTTTTCTGACAGTGTAGGGCGAGGTTTCTGCTTCACCTCAGCATGACTCATGTTCATTATAAATTCTCCTCTAAACTCAGCTACGACACGGTGGTTTTTGACGGCCTGCATGTCACGCTGAGGGACCTGAAGAGGCAGATCATGGGCAGGGAGAAGCTCCGAGCCGGGGACTGCGACCTGCAGATCACCAACGCACAGAATAAAGAAGGTAATAAATAGCATGGTAGTGTGTGTGTGTGTGTGTGTGTGGGGGGGGTGGGGATAACGCTGTGTTTATCCTGGAGGTTTTGAACTTTGGAAGAAAACACGTGGTCCAGTTGTGACAGCTGTGCGGTTAGAGGGGGCTGCGTCATGTCTTTTAGTTTGACAGGGGGTCCAAGAAAAGTCAAACAAAAAGGGCTCTAATGTGAATGAGCTGTGGTGTAAAAGTAACTAAGTAGATTTACGACTACTATTTACTAAGTACTGTAGGCTACTAAAGTGCACATTTGAGGGACTGACTCCTTACTACAATTCAGAGGTAAGTAGTGTACTTTTACTACACCACATTTACCAATAGCTAGAGTTACTTTGCAGATTTGGATTCATAATCTGAAATATAATCAACACTTAAATAAGACTTAAGTTACACCCTGAGTAAATTCACAAGCTACCCTGCAGTATACAAAGTCATTAAAACTAGCTACACATTTACCAGCTGTGTGATAACACTTTAATGCATCAATAATTATAATCAAAACATATCGTATATATTATTCTGAAATGTGCCATTTTGCATAATGAGTACTTTAATTAAGGTGCCAATACTTTTTCTACTTTTCCTTGAGTAACATTTTTATTGCAGGACTTTTACTTCTCACAGAGTATTCCTGCACTCTGGTACTCCTACTTTTACTTAAGTACAAGATCTGAGTACCTTCAAACATGTGGTTCAGGGTTGACAGCTGTGCGTCATGTCTTTTAGTTTGACAGGGGATCCAAAAAAAAGTCAAAGCAAGAACAGAAAGGGCTCTAATGAATGGGCCGCATTCCTGCTGCATTCAGGCCTCGTGTCATTAATTACATTACATGGCATGGTGATGGGGGATCAGCAGGTCACGTATATGTCCCGAGAGAGATGTGGGTAAAAATAGAATAAGTGGGGTAGGACCAAAGACTAGTCATGACCAAAAGTCAAGACACACACACACACTGATTCAAATGAATCATCAGTGGTAAACGTTAAACTCAATAATTCAAGTAGAGAAAAAGAGTGACATGCAGATAAAACCTGATTATCATCTATGAATGATAAGAATCACTTCAGTGTGTGACCAATATCCTGCAGATAAACTCATAAACTCTTCATATTCTGAGTAATGTGTTTCCACTGAAAGCACAAGCCAGAGGACAAAAAAGGTTAAGATGTTATGTAAGAGTTTACAGACATGTTTATTAAAAGTGAAGTAAAATCGAAAAGAAAGAGCATCATGCTTTTATAGGAAGGATTTTCAGGCTTGTTGCATCGGATGTCAGTCTTATAAAAGTGCTGTGTCATGCAGACTGGTTTTCTGAAGGATATAAAGGGACTCAATACTTGTTTAATTCACAAGTTAAACCAGTTTACCATGTACAAATGAATATAAAGTATTTATTATCCTGTGTCGAAATGTGAATAATCATAATAACGCTTAATTTACTGTAATGTAACTATTTTGCTAACGAGTCATTTTTTTTTTTTTTAAAAAAGCAAAAAAGCCAATGATGTTAAAACAAAACAATCCAACTAAAACTCTCACGTTCTCCACCGCTCCCTCTCAGAGTTCACAGATGACGATGTTTCGATCCCCAAAGGCTCCTCCGTCATCGTCAGGAGAATCCCCATCGTCGGAGGAAAGCCAAACTCAAGCAAGACCCGCAACCTGTAAGTGTCAAAACGTTTTCCCATAGCTGAAGTCCTGCACTAATATTATTGTAGATATCCCTAACAATCCATACGGCATACGAGATACCTTTTTAATGTAAGTTCACTCTTTAAAGGACTCCACCAAGATACTCAGATATAGATAAATAACATTTGAGTGAGTATTGAAGCTATTAGTTGATACATTGATTTGTTTATTAGTTCTTATAACAAATATTTTGTTCATGCTAGTGGCAGAAACTGCTGTTTTCAGCCTCTATCATATGTAAATTATGTCTGGCTTTTCTCTGTTTCTTCTTCAGGTTTTTGACCGACAATAAAATATTTAATACATCACCTTTGACATTGACAAATTTGGACGGACATTTTCCCCTTTTTTCTGAGACTATAGACCGAACAATAAACAAACAAAATAATATCCAGATCAATCGCTAATGAAAATAATCAGCCCTAGTAAATATGGCACAGGCGCTAATACCAGATCATGTAGACCCTAAGCAGTATAAAAGTAGATTGCAGGTTAACAAAATATAGGAAAGGCCTTTGTTGTGTTTTTGAGTAGAAATGTGTCTGATCACAGTGGTGAAGAAAGAAATGCTATAAACATGATCGCGATGATTAATACCTAAATCTTTCAGTTATAGTCGAATGTGGATTACACTGGGTTATTGCGTAACACTTCCATGACAAAATATGCTCACAGTAAAAAGGGAAAGAGTAGAACTCCATGTAACTCCAGGGTGACGTTCCCAGGGATTACCCAGATATTAGTCGGGCTTTGACAGGACAGCCAGCAGTGTGTGGGGTTTGTGCTTGGAAAGCAGGAAAGACCTCACTGGAACAGACTGGCGGTCATGTGATTAGCCCCGTCAGCAGCACCATGCAGACGGGTGGAGAATAATGAGAGCTACAGAGGTGCAACGCCACCCACAAGACTGAATGCAGCAAATCAATTCTCCACGTGCACGGGCAGACTGACATTTACTCATTTGACTTAACTGAGTCATTTTAAAGGCGTTTACAAAGTACACCCAAACCCTTAATTTAAACTCAATGAAAATGTACTGTTAAAATAAACAGTTGTGAGTAATTATCTTGCCATTTATCGGTCAGTTTATTGTAGCGAGGATTGTTTGTTTTATTGTTCAGTAAACTAGGTCAACTTTTAAAGTCTTGATGACACTGAGATCTCATAGAAATAACCGACAAACAGTCAAAGTTTCTTTGAAGAAAAATATTATATTTCTTTGGCTAATCAACTCATGTTTTAACATGTTCATATCATTCAAGTTTATATCTTGTTTAGGAGAATTTTGGGTATGTAGGAAATCACCACCTGGAGTGAAACCATTAATCCCACACTGCAAAGATCTTAGGCGACACAATACTACTTTGTTAGGTTAAAGGGAAAGATGTTATTTTAGTTATGTTAAAATAAGTTGACTTGTTTTTAACCCAAACCTGGGCGAAAGGCCTCTGTGTTTTCACCTTTAAAACTTTAGAGTCTTTAGAAAGTATTAATTGAGTGATTCCCTTTTTTTGTTGTGATATAGATATGTTGTTCTATATATTTCAGTTCTAATCTTTGGTTGTTTTACTATGTGAAGGACAGCTGTTTTGAAATGAATGTATTGTTCTGTTTCAGTGAGCGATTTGACATCCAGAATAACAACGCCTTTGGAGCCTTCAAAGCAGTACGTAACTCAACCCTAATCCCACCGCACCTCTTCACCCACAGCTCCACTAAACACACGTAGTTGTTAAAAATGGCCTCATATCTCTGCTTGAACATAAGCAGGAACAAATGAAACCTAAATCAAAAACGTGAAGCCTCTTTTCGCAGTTTCCCTTCTTGTTGCAAAGAGGAAGTAGTGTGCTTGTCAGGATTTCATTTACAGAGAGACACTGATCTTATAGAAATCATATTTTAGAATGAATTAATACATTTGCAGTTAGACTAGAATAGAATAGAAATCAACAATGAACCATTAGGGAAAGTGTATTTGCTCTCCAACACAGCAACGTGTTATTTAACACGTTGCTGTGTCACCTCGACATCACCACTATCTATCTGTGGGGGGGGGGGTGCAGCGCAGCTCGGGCGGGTCAAACTTTATCCTGCAGGCCAGCTACTCACAGCTGATAACCCTAACTGATTTTTTAAGAGCTGCTCTGTCTACAACCACTGTTCAGTTGCCAAGGAAGACGTATGCAGATGCTTTACTCAAGTTAAAGTAACAAAACACCAGTATCCAAATAGTAAAAGTCCTATAAAATAAAATCCATATCCAAAGTTGCTTTGTGGTATAACGGTACATACATAAATATAGTAAGAGAAATAAACATTTAACTAGAGCAACTATAGAAATATAATAAAACTTTTCTCAAACATAAGACAATGCGTAGAACACATACAATAAATATATGACTAATTACTGTGAAACTGTGTACAGTACTTCTCAATTAAAAGTATTTAGCAGTTTTAAAATGTGCCTTTTTTTTTATACCTGCTTACACTTGAGTCAAGTTACACTTTTAATTTAGTTTTTTTATTTAGTGTATTGGATCTAATTCGGTCCCAAGATATGACTGAACCCACTGAATTATTAAATCTGTCCAAATAAAACATTATTATACCTAAATCTACAGAATAAGTGAGCAGATGCCCTACATGTTGTATCATTAACAGCCACCAAACTCTTATCATCCAATAAAGAACTTAATGTATTGAAAGTTTGCTTGTTTTGAAATAGAAATTCAACACTAACTACTAACTCCCTTACAACAGGATAAAACCGGTTTATTATTAATGCTGGATTTACAGTGTTTCAGATTGAGCTCATAAGCAGAGCCTCTCTTTAACCCATTCCTCATAAAGACCCAGTGGTGCACCGTTGTTATTGTGTGCAGTGCCAGTTGTGTTTTTAATCCTGTCCACTAACTCAAACACTTTTCCAAAGCTCTTCACTTGAAGTAGTTTGCACTGACCTGATTCTCTCTGGTTTCTCAATAGCAGAAGTGTCTGTTGGACTACAAAACGTTTTTTATACTTTTGTGTTTTTTCTGCCAATAAAGATAAAGTTGTTTGTATGAATCTGTCTTATGTATTGATTATGTGTTTGACTTACTTCCATATTATTTCTGATTGATCTTTAAAATCTTGTATCCACATTTTCCATGTCAAGTAAAGACAAATGAAACTGAACTTTTACATATACAGGAATGCAGCAATTTTAATGGTGGATAATATAACATAGATGGTGGGGTCAAAAAAGAAACCTTGGAAAAACAATGAACATCAAATTAGCAAAGGAAAATAAATCCTGACTTATACCCCCATTTCTCTCAAACTTCCAAAAGACTCAATCCTACATTTCCCATAATGCAACTTGATATATTTGATTACTGCCATTTACAATCTGATATAGCGCCGTCATTATATAACCTTGTATATAAGAGAAAAACAATTGCGTGTAGATGTGAAGTGGCAACTTTAAGTTTTAAAGTACATTACGTTTATGATTTATAATGTGTTTGTATATTTGGCTCGTGTGAAGTTGGTCAAATCTATGTAGTGACACTACTCTGTGAATATAGAGATCAGTAGTTAAAAACGTGGACCCGACTGTACCGTTTATGTTGTAATTTGGGAATGTTATTTCTTGTTAAAAAAAAAAGAAGTTTACATTACTTTGGGCTAAATGCTAATATCAGCATGCTAACATGTGAATGTTTCAAAGGAGCAATGTTTACCCTGTCCTCTCAGTTAGCATCAGAATCAGAATACCTTTATTAGTCCCACAGAGGGGAAATTTGCAACAGAGGGGAAATTTGCAGCATAGCCTGTTAGCAAATTGTAATTTAGGCCTAGACACAGCTGAGGCTGAAGGTGATTTGTTAGAGTTGGAGATTTCATTACTAGACACATTTACATTTTTAATACTAGATTTTAAATCAAGGGATCACCAACGTTATTATGGTTCATCCTTTTGGGGACAATTCAATACCTATTACTGGACAAACTTGGGTGATGGAGGAGGGCATTACTTTCATCCGACAAAATGACAATTCCTAGAGCGCATTATTATGTTCAGAGTTACTAGAAATAGCAGGAGCTGCTGAGTCAGTAATCCTGGGATCAGAACAGACATTTATTATCCACTCTGTATGAAAATCACTGCTGGATTCTGGTGTACATTTGATCTCGGCTCAAACTGTTATTAAAGTAAAGTTATGACACACAGCAGCTACTTTCTCCATGGAGTAAATCCTCAAAGGTAGCAGGGGTAAAGCGTTAACAACAGTAGGACAACAAGTTATTATTTTGGAGTTTCTTTGTGTTTTTTCTTTTTTTTTTACAATATAAAAACCCAATTTTCTCAATCCTTTCGAACACATGTAACCTGGAGGCTCTAATCGCTTCACCAGTGAAAGTGATTATGTGTTTAATTCTAACAGATGGATGACCTAAATTCTTCCAGAGCCTTACCCCTTTTCTCCAAGGTATACTCTCTTTTCTTTTGTTAAATATTTATTCTGGTTCAAGTGAGTCAGCTTCCTCTTTGACCTGCGTGTGTTGTGTGTTGTGTGTGTGTTGTGTGTGTGTTGTGTGTGTGTGCACATGCAGATGGCTAACCTGGCTGATGTGGAAGGGTCAGAGGAGGATAAGATCAGAGTTATGATGAATCAGACGGGCTATGACCCCACAAAGTGAGTCACCTCAGTTATGTTTTAATCTCTTAAATTCTGTGTCAACATGTCTTAACTTTACTCTTGACTTCCATTACTCAACTTGATCTTCTTTCCATCTTTTCCATCCATCCTTATCTCATTCTCTTGCTCTTTCTCTCTCTAGTTACAGCAAGAAGCCTGTTACTGTGCTACCTGCGAACTACACCTGTTATCGCTGTCAAGGAAGTGGACACCACATCAGGAATTGTCCAAGCACAGCGGTAAGAGCAAGTACTCGGGTCTTTTTATCAACTAAAAGTAGTAATACTGCAGTGTAGAAATACTCACTTAAGTATTAAAAGTGCCAAAACTGGAAGTACTCATTATGCAGAATGACCAATAAATATGATATCACTGGATTATAATGTGTTCTTCATTGTTATTTTAACCACCTTTAATCACTCTTTTAACTTTCATCCTAATCCATAATAGTATATCCTTATTGTTTTGTATGTTGTAGGCCTATTTATAATATGAACCGGCAATGTAACTTATCAATAAAAGGAGTACAAGTACAGTATGTGCTTACAATTGTAGTGTAATAGATGAAAAAAGTAGCATATAAAAAAAATACTAAAGGATACTAAGTCAAGTTCAAATACCCTACAATTAAACTTGAATACAGTACCTAAGTAAATGTGTGTTTGTCTTTATATTTCACATATCCAGTATTTATTTTAGAAACGTATGTGTTGTTGTTGTTAGCATGTGTCTGTGTGCACTGTATGCTAAGGGCTAGCTAGCATGTACTTAGTTATTGACTGTAAACCCTAGCACTAAATGTTGACGTGTGTTTGAAAGCAGGATAAAAGCCAGGAAGC